TCTCCTGATGTACTGGCCTGTCTCCTGGTAGCACCTCCATGCTCTGGACACTACGTTGACAGACACAGCAAACCTTCTTGCCACAGCTCGCATTGATGTGCCACCCTGGATGAGCTGCACTACCTGAGCCACTTGTGTGGGTTGTAGACTCCGTCTCATGCTACCACTAGAGTGAAAGCACTGCCAGCATTCAAAAGTGACCAAACCATCAACCAGAAAGCATAGGAACTGAGAAGTGGTCTGTGGTCACCACCTGCAGAACCACTCCTTTATTGGGGATGTCTTGCTAACTGCCTATGCTTTCCACCTGTTGTCTATTCCATTTGCACAACAGCATGTGAAATTGATTGTCAATCAGTGTTGCTACCTAAGTGGACAGTTTGATTTCACAGAAGTGTGATTGACATTGTGTTGTTTAAGTGTTCCCTTTATTTTTTTGAGCAGTGTAGTATAGCATAAATAATACTTTATTAATGAACTAACATTTAATATAAAACAGCACTTCAAGATAAAGTAGATTAATATATTTTTGATCCAAGAATACTGAAAAAGATGCTAGTATTCTTTTGTTTTTGTGAGGGATTTTGTATGTTTTTATATGAATGGAAAGCCCTTGCACATAACTGGAAGCATGGAAATATATCAGCTTACATTGTTTTTTCACATTTTTAAAAAAATAGTACTCTAGAGAAATAAAAATAATTGTGATATGTCTATACTGCATGCCCAAAGGCTCTCGGCATATTTTCTTTTCTTTTATATCCCCAATGTTTTACACTATTCTTGTTTTTCAAAAGTATTTGTTTGGCCTGCTCTTTGATTCTGAAAGGGCTCTTTACAAAGCAGGAAAATGAGAGCTCTTCCTCTCTCTCCTCTGTGCCAAACTAGAGAGGACACTGAATACACAGGTATTTGAAAAGGCTATTTAATACTGCCCCTTTTATTAGAAAGGAAACCCAGTGGTGAGAAGAGGTAATCAAATAATAATTAGCAATTGTTCCTCCTTTCCTCTGTCCCACAGCTGATGCTGAAAGAAAACAAGAAACCAGGAAGTCTCCAGCTCCTCCCCTCATATAACAGTTTGTTAGTGAAAATGAAAAAGAAGTGTGGAAACAAGAGAGGGCAGCACCAGCTTTTATTCTTTCTTTCTTCCTTGGCCTCTGTGGGTAGTGCAGGGAGGAAAGGAATCTGCTTAGTGAGAAAAGGACAAAAATCTCAGGCCACCATCACCCTCCATGCTAAGCAGCAGAGAGGGCTTGAATATATTAGAAATATGCCTTATACTGAGTCAGAGTATTGGTCCAATTAATTCCAACACTGAACACATCAACTGAGAGCAATTTTTAGTGGTTTAAAGGAGTACTTTTCATCTTACCTGACTGAAAATGTTCCAATGTAGTTAACATAGTCAACAACTGAACTATTATCCCCACGCCACCCAACTCAGTATAATTGAGCATTGCAGCCTAAGTTGCTTGCCTCCCCTGATGTTACCACATGTTTCTTCAACAATATCAGAAATTCCGAACCAGTATCAGAAAATATAGCAAATTGGCTCAGCCTGGACTAAATCCATTGCAAGACTTGCATGGTTCTTCACCTTCTATTTGCCCTTCCCAAGGAAGGCAAACCTCACTGGTTGGTTTTGGTGTGAACCAGTCACCAATGCCCGACTTTTCCTTTTAGCAATTACTCCCGCCTCAATAGCTCCTGTTTCTTTTGATTCCCCCAAAATGTGTACAAACAAACGACTTTACTTCCCCTTCACAATTATCTTCTCTGACATTAACACAGACACTTCTTTTTTCTTCTTCTTATAGTATCATCATAACTCTGAGGATACAATTCAGTTAGTCCTCGCTTATGACCATAACTGGGACCAGTAACTCCCTTGCAAGCAATGCGGTCATTATGTGAGATATTACATGACTGTGACTTGTGATTTTACTGCTGTCTTCTCCACTGACTCTGCTTGTAATCGTAAATGCTCACCAGATGTGAAGCACTCGAATCTTGATCATCGGACCATGGGGATGAGTTTATAAAATTCATAAAATTACTTTTTCAGCACTATAATTTTGAATGGTCACTAAACAGAGCAATCAAAGCAATAGAGAAGTTGGTTTTCTTTCATTCCTATCTTTCTCAGTAAGATAATAGAAACTCTATCAGGAAACAATGCACGGTTCAGCTTCACAACATTAAAGCAGCTCATTCCTTGGATGCAATTTAATTGGGGGATAAAGAGAGGGAAAAATAAATAAATAAAATAACAACAGGGTGTGTCAAATATATATTGGAAATGTAATCAATGTGAAGATACTTTTTACCATCTTTGGTGGACATGCAAGACAGCTATGAAATATAGGTTCAGATATATATTAAGAGAATTCTTAAAATAAATGTACAATTGAAATCAGAGGGATTTTTTTTAGGTTTGATAGATAAATAGAAATGGGATTTTGTTTTTATACATGACAACAACAGCAAGACTTTTGTATGCAGAGTGATAGAAAGACTTGCAAATTCCCACAATAGAAGAATGAACGATAAGGTTAATGGAGTTGGCAGAGATGGAAAAACTGATTGCTTTCATTAAAGAAGATTTAGTCTAACTTTGTTTTTACTTGAAAACCTCTTGGATTTTTTGCTTGAAACAGAAATAAATAATTATAAGATGTAGAAGTATAAGACGTAAAAGGGGGGGGGGGCGCTCAATTTTTTAAAAGAGCTTTAGATAGGAAGGTACATTATGGGACTTTCACCTTTACTTTAAGGACACCAAAAGCAAGAAAAGCAACTACACCCACATTATTAACCTAAATAATACTCTGATCCTCAAATAAGATTGGGTTCAATCAAGTGAATCCTTCATAAAATCTAGGTTGCTCTTAAAATCAGATATAATACATTCTTATTGTTGCATTGGCCAAGTCATAGAATGCAAAGTAGCATACTATATAAAGAAGAAAAGCTGAAGGATTGCATAGAAGAAGTGACAACAGCTTTAACACATATTTCTCCTGAATAGCATAGTTTTGGGAATGAGTGTTAAGAAAAGCATGTTAATTACAGGAAAAAAAATATCTTATCCTACCAATTCCTCATGCTCATGTTTTCTGGGTTCTGTTCCTTCAGATAACAGCAATATCAGTATATTTTGTTCACCCACTCACCGTTCCTCTTATTAATGGGTGAAGCAACAAGATTGTGACAGGAACACCATTCTCTACCACATAAATCTAGACTCCTACTCTTCTGGGTAGCAAAATGGTACAGCTACTGTCAGTAAACTGAATTTTCTCGGAGGGCAAGTAACTTGTCAGAGGCCTGTAATCTACCAATTTCCTGAGATTTTCTGGACAGGAAAAGCTATGTAATCATGGTTGCTGCTGTCTAATTTCTCGCTTGCCAACTTAGCTTCACATTTTGGGCAATATATGCAGATGTTTAAAAGGGACACTGAGACTGAGTCAACCAAAAAAATAAGGTAACTGTCCAGTTTCCTTAATATGCAGAACAAAGAAGAAAGAGCAAACAAATAAGAGAGGCGTTATCAAGAGAAGACTTTATTTGGAGGAGGAACTGTCAACCTTCTTTCCCTTGGTGATAATGGACCCCTGAAGTGTAATCTTCCCAACACCATTCAAAATGATCTGAATATATAGATAGTAAGTGACACCATCCTTCTGAGATTTCCCTGTATGCTGTCTAGGTAAAGAGAGAAACGACAACTGCTCTTGCTTTCTCAATGGGCAGAACTGAGGTCAGCCCTCCTTTTCCTGTTATAACCAAAGCTGCACCCTTTAAAAGACAGGAACAGGAGTTACTGCTGCTTTTGCTTACCTATTTCTTAACTCTTAGAAGCAATAAAATGTTTGGGAAAACTAAAAAAAAAAAAATCTCACCTTGGAGAGAAAGGACATTATGGGGAGGATTTCCTGCCAAGAAGTCCCTCATCCTGCCGTTTGTTTCTACTATCGAAAATTTTAAAAGGAAATAAGATGAGATTCTATTCACTGTGTACATCTCTCTCTTCTATGATTGGTTCAGAGGGGAAGAGATGATGACTGAAATATGTTTGACCTCTCATGTAGTTCAGTTATCAGTTTATTTTTTTTTTCTCTAAGGTGACCCTTGGCAGAATAGAAACCTGTCAGTTCAAAAGCATGGCTTCTTGATATGATATAAATAAAACTATCCCCAACTCAAGACTTGGAAATGATTTACCTCGCTATGCCTTTTCTGCACAAGATCCTGCTCTGTGAGGCTGAAAAAGGTTAACAGAAAAACATGGGTGCAAAGGAATGACTTTCCCTGCTTTGCCCTCACGATTCTGAAATCATTTGCCCCTAAAAGTTGTTCAACCCCCCTGTAATGCCTCTGAGGGTAGATCGGAGTGATCTACCCTCCGATCAATCACTCCAATTGACAGACAGAGCAGCAGCAGCCACCAACACCCCTCGGACGAGCTGCCAATAGTAAAAGGAAAGGACACAGCGCCAAGGGAGAGGCAGGGATGTAGACTGAACCGGGCGTTAACATATGCTCGTCCGTAGCGAGACAAGGGCTCGGGTCCAGTCGGCCCGACGATGCCTGACGGCTCCTTCAGACGGCCAGGACTGGGGCTCTGTCCCCACGGACCGAGTACCCGAGTTTGCTTCACCCGCGACGGGCTCTGCGCAAGGGCGACCGAGGGCCCCCTTTCCAGACACCAGAGCGCAGAAGAGGCGCGCCGCGGCAACAGGGCGGGGGGAGCGCAAGGACAGGAAGCCGCCTTGGGGAGCCCCAAGCGGAGCCTCTGCGGTACCCGCGCCCAGCCAGGAGGCCGAAGGGGCGACGCGATGCCGGGAAAACTTTCCAGGCAAACCGCCGGGTGGGGGATGGGGGGCGCTAAAGCCCTAGAGGGGCGCTGCTCCTGCCGCTGTCATCGCCAAACTCCCTCGGCCGCCCCGCCTGCCCGCCCCGCGGAGAGCCTCACCCCTCCGCTCCCGCCTCACCTCCTCTGGTGCCCCCGGGCGAGCCGCTTCGCGTCTTTATCGAGCTCTCGTTCACTCTCGAGCCGCAATGGCCTCCCTCAGCGCCTCACAGGCCGCACCAGAACCAGGCATGCTGACGATTGGCCGTGCCACCCAATCGGCGCGGAGGTTCGGCGGGTGTCTACCAACCAGCTTTCGGAGGCGAGTCCGAAGACCACTATATAAAGTAGGCGCGACAGGCGCCTTCCTCTGAAGAGGGGCGGGGGTTTGATCCTGAGAGCCGAGGTGATTTGAGACTGGGAGGCTGAAATGCCACAATGTCTTGTGCGTGACTTTGGCGAAGACGAGTTTTCTGATTCGGTTGCTCAGTTTGAAAGTACATCGTGACTAATGTCCGATCCCCGGTAATCGTCCACTTTTCACAACAACAGAAACGGTACATATCAACATAAGAGTACACGAAAAATTGCTCTGTTCTTAATGCACTAATTTAGCTTAATTATGGCATGAGGTAGGCAGGGTAAATGCCAGTAGGATGGGCAGAAATAGCTATTGTGAACTACTGTATTTACCTGTAGTTTTCTCATACCCCCTTTTCTGTTAAGATATAATACTTCTAAACTGATATACTCGGGTCAGGTTCACATAATAGTCTAGATTAAAATGTGATTGGAGATAGATAGATAGATAGATAGATAGATAGATAGATAGATAGATAGATAGATAGATAGATAGATGATATAGATAGATATATCCATTTCATGTATTCATAACCATGTTTATATATACCTGTTATCGAATAATCACTTGACAAATAAATACAAAATATTGTGATATAGTGTGCTACCTAATGACAGATGTGTCATTGAAAAATGTTGGCATATATACCTCTTTTTAGGAATTACCCAAATGTCCCTGAAGTGTTGCCCAATTAAGTATTTTGATCATTAGACATTCTTTTTATTTATTTATTTTCCCACTTATCTTACATACAATAATCCTGGGTGGTTTATAGCAAAAATTTAAAAAAGAAACATGAGTTCAAACAAAGGAGGGAGGATTTAGCCCATGCAACTATACAGCTGCCTTCAATTGAACTCCCATGTTTTTGCTTCAACGTTTGGCAAGAGTCTATTGTACCAAACCCACATCTTCAAAACCATGAGTACAAAATCAAGGCTGCCTTACTCGGAACATCACAAGAGGTATTTGCTGCAGGCACACTTTATCTCCTTACCCGTCATTTATGTACAACAAAATACAAACTAAGAATGTAACTCCATGAGAAATTTATCCCCTTGGTATGCTTAATGCTACCTTTAAAAGCAAATAATAAAAGCATCTGATGTGCTACGGACAGTAGAGAGTGCTTTTTGCCAGCACTTGAAGCCCCTAGTTTCCCTCTGACAGTGCCACCTCTACATTTGGCTACCTGGCATTGGGCACAACATATTGGCAAGTAAGGCAATGGTTATTTGGTATCTTTTTCTTACCACAACAAGGACCTTCTGTCTGTACCACCCTGACCTCTCTACACAGGGCAAATGATTGGTCTTAGAAAGAACAGCTATCTCATCTGATTGTTCATCTGCTCATCCTATTGCTCACTCCCTAGAGAATAAACATTAGGTAATGGCTACTTCTCTCTTGAAATTCTCATTTGTCTTCTTTTGCTTCAGAACCTCTCCTTCTCTACAGACAAGGCAATGGAAACTATTGTGCCTCCCAGAACATGTTTGATGTGGGGAATAAAAGGTGGTCTCCCCTGACATGAGGCAGAAAGGGAAGGAATAAATGAAAATGAGCAAGTACAATATGGTTGCTCATTTGAATAACAGTCATAATCTCTTCTGATCCCATACCCTCTTCCTAGTTGGTATGAAGAATTAGGCTAGCTATTGCACTACTCTGAAACAGGTTGCTTAAGAGAGATAGGAATAACCACTTTCCTCAGTTATTCTAAGAAGCTGCAGGATTTAATAGATGAGAGGTGAGACTTCAGAAGATTCTTGCATTGGAAATCTCTGTGCCCCCCCCCCCCCCAAATTTAAGTTTCAGGGTTGGAAGAGGGATTGGTTTGTTTTAATTATGGGTATTTATTTGCCCAGTATCAAGGTGGCGCTGTTGTGTATGGTTTTTGAAATGTGGGTTGAAGTTTATACTCTTCATAGAAAAGTATAGATACCTACATTTTTATAAAAGGACTACTGAGATCCAAGAATGTCTTTGGGAAGATCTAGTGAAATGATAGAAAATACAAATTGGTGGTAAAGGAGATTCAGAGAAAGAATTATAGAGATCATACGGATACAAAACTGTTACACTGCTCTATTGTACTCTATTTAAAATACCTTCCTTCTTTCCTTCCTTCCTTCCCTCCCTCCTTCCTTCCTTTCCCAGAGGAAGTGGCTGATTAAGATAACATTTGGGCAGAAAGATTTTCAGCAGCTGTTTTAGTGGCTTTCAAAAACAATGATTGTCTAGTCCAAATATTTGAAACCAGACTGTTCTTTAGGCTGGTGGCATCATTTTTGTTAACAAGGAGAGAATGAATGGAAATGTCTGTGAGATATTCTTGTACAGTAAAAGTTGCCTCAGGGAACACTGTAAGAAAATCCTTAATCTCCCACTTACAAGTGTACTTTAACAGCTAGACTTTCGGGGTCTACTCCCCAGCTGCTTTACTTCCCACATATATGTTAATTTTTTTTTTTTTTTAAAAAAAAGCAACCTACCTTCTGATTGGGGCTGTTAAGTTCTTGGTCTTGATTGTTGGTGCCTGCCAAGGTGTGCTTTTTATTATTTTATTTTTAAGGTGCATTTCTACAGGCTATGGAGGGTCATCTTTTCAAAGGCAAGGATGTTGCTCATCCTTGACTCAAAGCCAAATATGAAAATCTATCAAACTTTTCTGTTTTTCTATTGTAAATGATGAAAACAGTAGGCGGTTTGCAACCTAATGTCATGGGCACCAGTATATTCAGGAGTACTTCCTGCAGTCCCCACTACATATTGCAGAGAACTGTTGGTCTACGGTAGCCCAAAATTAGGAGATGCCTCATAGCACCTTTTCTGATTAACACATTTTTTAACAGAATTACCAAGTTGCAAGGGACTTGGAGGTCTTCTAGTCCAACCCCTTCTAGTCCAAAGCCTATATTATTTCAGACAAATTTATTAAAAGGCATTGTTTCCACAAATTTTAGTTCACTTCATCAGATTTATGCAGTGGTTGATTTTAAAAGGATATCAACAAAACTTGGGAGAGAAATTGTGATTATACAGGTTACATGTGAGACACATTACAAGTATCACCTCTTTTACTTAAGACCTAATAGCCCAGGAGATAGACTTAGGTCAGTATTTAATAATAAAACTCATCAGCCTTATCCATGCTGGCAGGAATAGTCAATACCCCAGAAGATAGGCTGAAGATTACAGAAGGATCTTGACATACTTGAACACTGGGCTCTATCTAACAAAATGAAATTCAATAGTGAGGAAAGTAGTTACATTTAGACAAGAAAAACCAAATGCACAGGTATAAACAGGTGGCACCATGCTCAGTTGTAGTAACTGAGAGAGGGATCTTGGAGTCCTAGTGGACTCCAAATATGAGTCACTTAAATATGAATCAGCAATGTGCTGCAGCTGCCAAAAAAACCAATGCAGTCCTAGGCTGCATTAACAGAGGCATAGAATCAAGATCATGTGAAGTGTTAATACCTCTTTATAATGCCTTGGTAAGACCACACTTGGAATACTGCATCCAGTTTTGGTTACGATATTAAGATGTTGAGACTAAGAGTGCAGAGAAGAGCAACAAAGATGATTAGGGGACTCGAGGCTAAAACATATGAAGAATGGTTGCAGGATGAGTTTGGCTAGTTTAATGAAAAGAAAGATTAGGGGTGATTCCAATATCTAAGGGGCTGCACCAAAGAAGACAGGGTCAACCTATCAAAAGCACCTGAAGGCAGGACAAGAAGCAATGGGTGGAAACTAATTAATGAGAGAACCAGCCTAGAACTAAGAAATTTCCTGACAATCAGGGGAACAAGTTGCCTCCAAAATTTGGGGGTTCTTCATCTACTGGGGATTTTTAATTAGAGATTGGACAAGTATTTATCTGAAATTGTATACTGATTCCTTGAGCAGGGGTTTGGAGTAGACCTTCAAGGTCCCTTCCAGCTGTGTTATGCTGCTATCTCAGGTCTTAACACAATGGGTTTTTAACAGATTATACATACTAATCAATGGGTATTTGCAATGCCTCTAGTGTGCAACCTGCATCTGTATCACCACTGTTTCTCTACCTATATGCTCCCAGTGCATACTTTTTTTTAAAACAAGAACCAGTTAGGTGTAGTCATTAAGATACTAAACTGGGAGACTGGGAGACTGGGTGTTCTAGTCCTCCCCTATGCATCAAAGGCAGTCAGGTAATTTTGGGCCAGTCATTCTCTCTTAGCCCAACCTACCTCAAGGAGTTTTTGTGGGGGGAAATAGGATTTGTATGTTGCTTTGAATTGCGCAAAATAAAGATGGGATATAAATCTAATTAGCAATAAAGCTACATCAGATCAACCACTCCAGACATTTGATTATGTCAGTTACAACTCGCTAAAGGGTATGTTAATGAAACGTGTGCATTGGAAAGGTACCAGACTCATTTTTAATCCCTATTAAATCCCTATAAAGACTTGTCCTAAAGTGGGAGGCTAATATGAAACAAACAAAAATGTCAGTCTCTAGCATCATCTATATTGCATTTATAAAGTATTTCAGCCTGAAACACATCCCTATATATATTTTTATATGATACAGTTTAAAATTGTGTTTACATGCCCAGATAGAACAGAAGGTAGGGCAATGGAAGCATCCTGGCAAGTCAAGAGCAACAGAAGGGATCAAAATAATCAATTCAACCTCTAATAAATGGGATTTTTCCACCTGACTAAATTAAAAGTATAGCAAGTCCTCACCACCACATGCATCTATGAGAATATTCTCATTCTCTATTCTATGAACACCTGAAGGCCTATGTCCTTCCAAGACCCTTAGATACAGGACTCAGACCATCCTAACTAGAATCCCACTGGGGATTGGGGTTTGGGTTCTTTCCAAACAGTTTCCCCAAATTTTTGCTTACAATCTGCCACTGACTCCAGATTTTAAAAATCAAATGTGATCCATTCTGCTTAGTCACAGAATATTGTAGACAGCTTTTATACGTAACAGTTCTAATAAAAAAAAAATCAGATGCAGCAAAATCAAGACGTTTCTGTAATCAACAATTTCTTTAATTTGCATAGCGTTTTGATGGTATGATAAGTAAAAACGTGCTCACAAAATATGCAGTAAATTTATAGGGTTAAATACAACTATTCAAGAAAATATAGTCTGAGGCACGTATAATGTATTTTATCTAAACACAACAGTTCAACAAAAATACAATCAACTTTAAATGATGTTTGAGAAGTTTTCATTCACAGCAGTACAGAAATATAAAAAGTCAGATAAATGCAATAGAAATTCAGTTAAAAATACAACTGCCCAAAGTAAAATAATTAATATACAAGTGACTGCATTCACATGTTATGTTTAAATCAGATTTATTTCTGCTTGGCTCACCTATAGCTTCCAACTCTGGTTCATAAGCAGGCAGAACATCAGATTTCCTGATTTAGTTATATTAACCAAACCACAGAATGGGATTTTATGGTTGTTTGAGCTGCTTTGGCAGGAGGTCAGGTGAGAGTGAGTGCATCATTTATTTTGTCTTAATGAGATGTGTAAATGTAACAAATTAATACACTTAATTAACAAGGATTAATTCATAGGCATTATCTACTAGTAGAGGTAACCCATATGCTAAATAACTTAAATGCTATACATGTGTATAAATACTTTGTATTTAAAAGTAAGACAACAATTGTATGTACATGTACCCAAAAGCAAATCTTACCAATTCCATAAGGACTTGGTTTGAGTAAACATGTATAGCATCAGGCTGCTTGTAGTGTTGATTTATTCACAGTAACTCAGAAAAAAAGCTATATACATATATTGCACAGTTGTAAAAAACACTATTCATTAAACATCTGTAAACAACAGTTTTTTCTTTCTTTGGCAATTTGATTATTTCAGTAATGCTACAAGCAAGAGCACTTAGTAAGGTATATAACAAATATTTAAAGGCACATTAAGCAGTTTTTTCCCAAAAAAGTAAGGACATCTTTCCAAATATTTTCTAGTTAACAATATGCTGGTTATTGGTTCATTTCTCTCATGTCAAAAAACTCACAGTAAAAAAAGTTACAGTTTGAAGTGAAGGGTCAGAATTATTAGAATACTTGCTTAAAACCCAATATCTCAGACAAAAAATAATCATGGGTTGTCCTGTGATTTCTTTCTCTACCATTTCCTAAGCATGCTATCACATAAAGGATGGGGCTGCCTGTAGCAATGGCAGATGTACACATATATTTTATATGGATGGTTGTGCCTTTATTTCTAAAGTTGTTTGCATGTTTTTTTGGTCTCTTTAATAATATGTGTGTTTTGCCTGTGTTCTTGTGGACAAACTTTCTGGAAAGAAGGATTGTATATGCTTTGCTTCTGGATTGCTCCATTTTTTAAAAAAAAAAAGTACATAAGATTTTGGGATTTTGGTTAAGGTGTTAAGGCTTTCCCTAATGATATTTTACTGAGCCTCATTAGTTTTCCTTCTGAGAAATTGCTATTGAGCTTTTAGGAAAATGAGATGCTTGGTCTCTGACTTACACACAAAGAACTCACCTTGGAAAGAAGAATGTTAACAGGAAAATTAAGGATTTGGAAAAGAAAAGCATTTATCCTGATGAATGGTATCTTTTAAAACTACTCTTAAATTGCACTGACAAAATTCAAAAATAAACCAAGAGTCCAAGTTTAGACATAACAAGTTGATTAAAATAAATCAGGATTTGAAAATCAATTTCCGATCATGGCTTCAAACTGCAAAGAAACAGCCATGATTTGTTACGTGGTGAATTTATTCACTGAAACCAGCCAAAGTTAGGTTAAACAAACCCTAACTTAGCATCATGAAATTATCATGCTATATTTTATAACATAATCCTTATTCTACAGTCACAGATTTAGCCAAATTTCTTGGGAAATCCACCTGGAAAAAGAAAAAAAAGATTATCATACCACAATAGAAATTATCCCATTTAAAAGGAACATAAAGGAAAATAAAATATCCTAATGGCACTATGCCTTCCCAAACTATGTAAATATATGTCAAAACTACTAATATCCTTAGGTAGCTGGTTTGACTTCTGCTTGATTCTAACTTTTCTTTGTTTCATTTCATTTGTACCATGATCCCAGACACTACATTCTTTGTCATCGTTTCATGTGTTTGTAATCCTTTTACATGCTAAGAAAATGACAACATCTACAGCATGGGGTCAAACTCATGGCCCACAGCCCAGATGTGTCACATGGCTGGCCCGGCCCCGCCCAGTTTAGCGAAGGGGGAACAAGTCCCAATACATCACATGATGCTGCCATGATGATATGAGTTTGACACCCCTGATATACAGTATTTAACAGTGGTGATTCTGCAAATACTCTCATCATAATCACTGCTTGGCTCTTATTCCTACATTTTGGATAACAGGAATCACACACCAAGCAACATGGGTAGTTCTATCTTTAATGAAGTTTGGTTCAAGTTAAAAGATGCCTAAATACTAATCATTTCTTAATCCTTATAGAGACCACAATTATTAATGGCTATTTGTTTAAATCCTATCACTCATTCTTGTGACCAATTTGTGAAGAAACTAGGAAGTATCCAACTGTGCTTTGCTTTAATTAGAATGACTAAATATGGAAGTAACTTACATCATATCCTCTGAGAACAGCCAGGTGGAACGAAAGCAGCTGTAGAGGGATCACACTCAAGACTCCCTGTAGGCAATCAACTGTCTGTGGCAACTCAATTGTTTTGTAAGCAAATTTTGAGCTCTCCGTATCTTCTCTAGAACATAAAATAATAGGGCGGCCCTAAGAAACAAGTCAAGTAGTATGGATTAATATTAATGATTAACCAATTATTGATTATATATAGATTTGCTGTATTTTGCAAACATTTTCCAATATGCAGGTTATTTTTAGTATTTTATTTATTTATTTATTCATTTATTTATTTTTATGCTGCCCATCTCCCCTATAATATTTAAATTAGGTTTTTATCTTTGTAAGTCACTCAGAGTGAGTTGGCCATATACATTTTCATAAATAAATAAATGGAGCAAGAACATTAATAAAACAACATTGAAAATTCCATTGTATTCAACTAAAAGAATGCATATAGGTATTGATAATTTTGGCTTCAATCTAAAATGCAATAGTCTAAATGTTTTAGTATCATTACTGGTAAATGTTAGAGCTGCATTAGCCCGATATAATATTACATGTAGTCCTCATGCTATGACAGAAATTGGGACCCGGATTGCCATCCCTAGGTGATGCAATTCCCAAGTGCAATGTTGACTGCATCGATTAGTGATAGCAATCCTGACAGCCCCAAATGGCAAGATCCTCAGGTAAGGAGCTTGGGGTGCCACATTGGGATGGGGAAGGACGGGGAAGGCTTGGGAGGCCTCATGCAAATCAAAGAAGGCCAAGGAGAACTTAAAAGTCTCAGTGGAAGCTTCACAAGAGCTAAGGGGAAGCCGAAGCAATTTACCAGAATGACTTGAGATTTTTCTTGCCAGGTTCTCCATTTATTTTGTTTGTGGGAAGCTGGTAGGAAAAGTCCCAAATGGTAGTCACATGATCTTGGGATGTCATAATTTTGAGCTGGACACCCTAACACCTGGATTGCAATTACTTGATTGTTGGGGTGCTACAACAACTGAAACTTCAGACAATGCTTGTACATCCATTTTTTTTCAAGGTTTGTCGTAATTTTGAACAGTCATTGAATGAATGGACATAAGCCAAGGAGTGTATCACTACTTTAACAAACAGGAAACATTGTACTTTAAAAAAAAAAACTTTTTGTCTTCACTTGCCCCCAAGCTCCCAGCAAATTACAATTTTTAGAAAACTAAAAGCATGTATCTAGCAAATATGGCAAATTAAAACTGTATAATGGACCATATAATATATATATATATTGTTTGAGATCCTATGCAATTTGATCACAACAATGCCTAAAAAGGTTTGGGGGGGGGGGAGTGGACAGGGGGATAGAAAAGTGCAGAGATATTACATGCTCAATTTATTTAAAACTAGAACCTGGAGAAAAAAAGAGAATTCCCAGTAAACGCTACAAAATGCACTGCTACTGAAAGAACAAAAAAGGAGAATCATAACATTCAAGAAATGCAACATCTCACTTTTTCTAAGAGGAATAAATAAATTTAATGATGGAGCGGTAGAGTTTGAGATCTTCTTAACTATAACTTTATGGATAATACAGAGCAAATGGGAATATTTTCCCCATTTTCTCTTGTAACGCTAATTTGAAATCACTCATTCAGAACAGATAAAATCCTCATTCAATTGGCTACTTATGAAATGACCAAATATGCCAGCTAAGTCAGCTGACTTCAAAAAGAGATTGTATCCATTATCTATGAATTAATTATTACATTAATTATTAAAAACCATTTTAATAAAAACAATTTCACTGTGTCCACTATCAAAGGCATACCAGTCAAGGAAACAAGAAAAGCCCTTTGGCTAGTTCCAAACTCTGTAACTCTATCATGAAGAGAGATCAAATTAGCTTTACTTCTTTTTCTTCGACAGCTATTGACACACAACTTTGGTTGTTAGGATGCCCTTAAGAGGTATCTCCTTTGACTAAAATTCTGTTCTTGGTAAGTTCATCGATATATCTATCTACATAGTTCCCTGAAACAATATACAAGTAGTTTGCTATTGTCTTTTTGAGAATATTTTTTCAACTTTTTGATTGTTAACAGCACTGAAATCCCCAGATTCTAGCTAATTGTAGATGACCGAAAAAATAACAAAGAAAAGGGTGGGTTTTTTCTTCTAATGGGGGTTTATCTTGTTTTTATATTACAAGAGTGGTAAAGAGAATAATTAGTTTTTTTATACTTCTGTTATAAAAATATAAATTCCTGGAAAAACAGCATCAGAATACACTGCTAGCAACTCCTTGCCAGTTAGAACTAATTAGCATTTGAAGATTTTATGGATTTAAGAGTCGATAATATGTCTTCTTCAAAAGATAGTTTTTACAAAATTGTCTTTTCTCTCCCACTCTTACCTCTAAGCTCTAAGCAGTTTACCTAGCTTTGAAGAATCTATTTCAGCTGAAAATTACACATTCCCAGTGATCTCCCAGATCACAATAGTATGACATAATTATACTGTTCTTAATATATTATTAAATTATTAATATTGTACACATTGGGTCTCATAACCTTAGTGACTCAAATAATGTTTATAAAATTAAAACATGTAAGAAGGCTTGACAGGATTAATTCTATACCTGAAATAGCAAACTCTGAACTCACAAACCCTCTATTTGCTTTGTCTCAATTAATTTTAGTAAAAATTTACTTTGTCTGCTTTTGGAGTCAAATATGTTATACCCTGAAATTTAGACAAAACTCAAGTCCAGAAACTTTGGCTTTTAAATCCTAAGACTGCTAAACCAGGGTTTTGATAAATGAGGAATTTTTGTACAATACTCTATCAGACGTTTACAATGTTTATACTTATGCAGTGTTTAATCTCCCCTAGTTGCCAGATATATATAGTTTAGGCCTTCAGTAATACATTTTATTTAAAATATAAAGTTTTTTCTGAGAACTAAGATTTACAGTGTAGTCAGGGGTGGGATTCCAATTTAACAACCAGTTCTGTGGGTGTGGCCTAATTTGTGGGTGTGCCTTGGTGATCGTGTGACTGGGTGGCATGGCTTGCTGACTGAGCACGGCTTGGTGGTCATTTGACTGGATGAGCATGGCTTGTACATAATTATTATAAATATTTATGTAAACATTGATTTTTTTATGAAAAAAGAGCAACTTTTAAATTGAGTTGCTCACAGAATCACAGATTAACTTAGATATTATCTATCTGCAATTGGCTATCTGAGTCTGCACTGAAAAGCTACAGTCCTAAGGAAGGTTCGGCTCTGCTTTTAGATTAGCTAGAAAGCAAGAAATCAAAGGATTTCCTGCTTTCTATCTAATCTAATTCTCCTGGCAGAGCAGAACAGCTGATGGTTGGGGGAGGAAAAATAGCAACTTACCAAACCAGGTAAGTTGGATGGCTCACATGCCAGGTAAGGAGTGAGTGGGTGGGGAGGGGAGGGGCCAGCCAGTGGAGCGATTTGCTGGTTCTCTGAACTGGGGACAATCGTGTGTGTAGTGTTTGCAAGAAATCATCAGCTGTGCCACCTGGACAGCTGACAAGTGCTGCGCTCAGGTGCGCAGCGTTTGAAAATCCTCGTTTCCTGCTTTTTAAACCTCAGCTGTGCCGCGCAAAGCAGCTGAGGAGGGAAAAGCAGGGAATAAAGGACAGCCTAGAGCCCGGGCAGGCGGGTGGGCCAGTTTGGTGTCAGCTGCTCTTCGAAGCTACAGGTTCTATAGAACCGGGTCAAACCGGTAGCATCCCATCCCTGAGTGTAGAATAGTTTGATGCAAGTATTAAGGTTTGTAATGCTTCATTCTTCAAATAATCTTTCAAATTTCAAATGATGAGCTTTATTTCAGTCTATAGATATTCCCCGATGATCTTGTTCATGTAAGTTTAATATTATTTAGGTCTTTGCTTAGAGCAAATTCTCATCTAGGAAGCTTTACAAGTCTCAGTAGACTTCTTAAGAATTCTAGAATTTCTTAATAATTGATAATACAACATCTTAATAATTCCAGAGTTGACATCTGTTAGAGGCAAGCAAAAGCATTCCTGTTTAGAGAGGCTTTTGACCCTGCATGTTATTCCTGCTGAAATATGATACATAAATAATATACTTCATTAATATATATTCTTTATTGTATTTTATTCTTTCAACAAATGTACACATTAATCATAAAAATGAAATGCAAATTACAGTGTTTACCTGTCGGGCAGTGACCTGTTGTAAAGCATTCTGGCACTTGGTAAAGCAGGGATCCTTCATAATTATCATAATAACAGGCATTTGTTTATCTATAAGAGCCAATGGTCCATGCTTCAGTTCCCCAGCCAGGATGCCTTCAGAATGCATATATGTAATCTCTTTGATTTTCTGCAAACCAAATGAAAGACAATCACAAAGGACAAAATAATAATGCATTCTGTTGCTGATAACAATTAAACACACATAAATGACACCAAAGTCCGAACCCCAAAGCTGCTTTTTGCATGCCCAAATTTTAATTAGTGATCATTGCTATGATATGCAATTTTTGGAATTGCCTAGGTACTGTACATTCTTATTCTTAAATTCAAGCTAACATCAAATATGTGTTGAGTCTAAAATGGAGAATCCCAAGTAATAACCATCCATTAAAACATTAATGATGTATCCTTTCAGTACACTTTAAAATTTACTCCAAGGATTTCTCTCTATATTTCAAGTTTAACGAACAGAATTTGCAAAGCATCAATAGTTTTGTATAAATTGGGGCTGTAGATATATAGGTGAGCAAATAATTCCTGACCTGAAACACATATCTTTTTATTTTCTCCAAAGCACTATTTAGAAATATTCTTTACATACGTTAGTTGTACTTTTGAAAAACTCAAAGTTAAAGATTCATACCAGTGCTCCTTCCAAGCAAGTGGCATAATTATATCCACGACCCATAACCAAAAGTGATCGTTGTTTATATAGTTCAAGCGCCAGATCGTGTATTTTCTCATCCAAAGACAGTACTTCTTTAATCATCTCTGCCAACAAATTAAAACTGAGAATTAATTTCATTCTTGCAATACTATCAAATTTCAAAATATTTCAAAATACTAAAATTGAAGATTTAGACAGACTACATCAATTAATTCATCTGCTTTACAGTATAAAACTTACTATTTTACCCTTTGATAGCACCTAATATTTTTTCCTGAAATTTTATATTGATACTAGTTTTAACAGCTCTTTATCCTGAACCCTTGAATAGTTTTTAATCTTCACTAAAGACTCACATTTGAAAAAAAGAGAGATTAATTTAAAAAGCAGAACTCCTAGCTTAATGTACATAAATGTAAATTTCCCTTCTATTAACAGTACATCCCACATTTACCTTCAAAGCATGATTCTATTTTTTACGACTGAAATCCAGTTTTGTTCTCTTATCTTTTTCTCAACAGAGAAATTAAGTGCAAGCAAATAATAAGAATCCTATACCTTTCAAATACCTTTTGAAATACCTTTTAAAATTACAAAACCAAAAATTGATTTACAAGTTCATGACTTTTTACCTTTTCACAACAAATTTTAATTCCCCGTTTGAACATACCAGGTAATGACTTCAAACTACTTATGATCTCCTGTCTTCTTTTTTGCAAGGATATCCTGTCTTCTGACATCATCAGACCAAACAGCATGAGAGAAATGAACTGGCTGGTATAAGCCTGAAGATTTAAAAAAAAAACACCTTTATTTGGTTGTGTAGTGTATGATCCTGTTAGTATCTGCTTTGGTGAAACAAGAAGGACAACGGTACAACACTATGGATATCAGATCCTGGCTCAGTCACTCATATCCATAGGTAAAGCTGCAGAAGGGATGCTTTGAAATCCCGGATAGTCTCTATACAGGGGTGTCAAACTCAAGGCCAGTGAGGTGCTTAGATCTGGTCTATGGGGCTGCCCTGGAAAAAGCAAAGGACAGTTCCGTGGTGGCTCTGCCAGCAAAAACAGAACTTGGGGGGAATCACACGCGCCCCCACAAGCTCAGTTTTCTCTGGTAGAGGACTGCAGGAGGCCGTTGAGGCTAAACATGGGCAGGCTGAGTGACATCAAGCTGGCCATGCCTACTCTTGCCACAACCACCCTGGCCACATACACCCCACCCTGAGGTCAAGCACAACCCTGATGCAGCCCTCAATGAAATAGAGTTTGACACCCCTGCTCTATAGTATAGATAGTATTGACAGTTTCTTGCAACACAATGCTTTCTTAACAAGGTAGATACTTTACTGCTGTTCCAGGCAATACCAAGGCTATGATCCAAAAGAGAAGGTCAAATACAAAAAAAGAAACTCACTTTTGTACTTGCAACGCCAATTTCAGGTCCTGCATTGATATGTACACCACAATCTGTATCTCTGGATATTGAACTTCCCACCGTGTTTGTGATGCCAACGGTCAAAGCTCGACGATTCTTACAATACCGTAAAGCCATCAGTGTATCAGCAGTTTCTCCTTTAACACATTATGACAATGACATTATTACAGATTAAGAACGGCAGTTGAATTTAGAATGGTCTGACCTGCTCTATTCATCATGATACTGAATAACTTTCCTGTCTTGTGAACTTGCCAAAGTGTTATGTTTCTTGGCTGTTTTAAACAGGAAGTAAGAATTATCCTCAAAATATTTAAAAATGACTGCCATCCATCTGTTTAGCTTTAGTAGGATATAAAATATCAGAGAATATTCCTCAAGTCAGAAGATTTGTGTTTTAGAGTGCAAAATCAAATCTTAAATTGGCTCCAGAAATAGTAGTAGTATTTTCTTTAAAATACAAACACAGTTTTGAAAAACTGCCAGATGCAGTTTCTGAGACACTCAGTGGAAAGCCCATTACACCAATAATAAAAATCAACGTGAATTATAGTAACAAGATCTTCCTCTTGCATGTAATGTAAATACAATTAAAAGCTTGCAATCAGGAATCTTGGTATAAATTAAGGTAATAATATATACGAAAAAGCACATTTGTCAAATTCCCAATATTTCCCAAATTAAAATGTAAGGCAATTTACCTGACTGGCTGATAAAAAAGCACACATCATCTCGAAATACAGGGGTATTCCGATCCAGAAAATCACTAGCCAGTTCCACCATGACAGGTAGCTCAGTCAGTTCTTCCAATACTTGTCGTGTCTGAATAAACATAAAAACAATGTATCTGGCTTTAATTCATTTTTGACATCATGTGAGATTGGCACATTAGCCGAGTGAAGCAAATTAATTAGTTTTGAGGAATAATGCAAATTACTATTTTAATTCACACTACAGTGTTCACGATGGAACAGACTCATCCCAGGTTGGCAAACAAGTGAGATAGGCCTATATACATACACTCTGCTTATTTATTCAACTATATGCTGAATATATTCCCTGGGTTATGACAGCAATTTGGATCATTAGTCAAGAAATATAACACAGACCAGCATTTTAAAACACCCTTGAAGCATTATATATCCAAGATGTGGCTGCACCTACAAAGATCAGAATCATGTAGATTTGTAACAGTTTATGGAAACAATATTTGCATTTTGAAGATGCAGAATGGTAAGAGTTTCAACACTTTTGAACTCTGAAGGTGAGGAAGACTCCTGGGAATACCACAGGTAGGCAAGAAAACAAACAAAAGGCCAAATCAAATCAAGCCAGAGTTTTCACTCAAGATACAAATGGCCAGGTATAAAATTATCATACTTGTGACACTTTATGCAAAGACATCATTCTCTAGAGAAGTTTACAATAAGGGTTCCTTGGTGCTTTCTAAGCTTGGTTGTTTTCTTGCAGATGTTTCATTATCCAAACCTCAATGCTAGACTAGTTTAGATGTTACCTAGTTTAGGTAATGAAACTTCTCCAAGAAAACTACCAAGCTCAGAGAGCACCCAGGACTCCTGAGCTACAAATATTCTCCTTTATGAAGTTTACAATGCTGGAAAAGATGGAATGAAAGAGAAAGAGGACAACGGATAACAGGTGGATAGATTCAATTGCACCGGTGATATAATTGTGCACTATTGGAAAATCTGAAGGACTAAGCTGGAATCAACATCAACCCAATCAAAGAGATGCATAGTTCTCTTGAGTAATATCCCTCCAAAAGCTTGCTCTTTAAAAGATAGAAAACTCCTATAAACATACAATGAAGAAATGTATTACATATGTTGAAATATTTTAAACTTACAGCCACAGCAGCATGATAACTGGTTCCACATCCAATAATTATTAATCGACGACATCTTTTGATTTCTTTCAAGTGATCTTTCAAGCCACCTAAAATAACTATAATTTCCACAAAACAGAAATGATATGAAGACTTTAGTTCCGGGCAAATTCCTATCAGACATTAATGGTAACATTAACAGAACTAGAATTTTCCTCGAATTTACCTTTGTTGGTTTCAAAGTTCACTCGTCCTCTCATAGTATTGAAAACAGATTCTGGTTGTTCAAATATTTCCTTCTGCATGAAAGCACTGAAATTTCCTGTTGTTGTCATTTGAATAAAAAGGGTCTGTTAATGTTACTATTTAGTCAAGGATGGTATTTACAGCAAAATATGGCAGTTTCAGTCATAAGCCAAATTGCTTACACTTGGTTAAAGGAATGCCTATGTGATTGATGAGAGTCCTCTTTGGGCCCCTTTTGGCTATTATATTACCAAACAAAAGCTGTACTCCCAAGGATTAGATTTTTACTAACGTTTAATTTTCAGGACCAGTTAAAGAGGGTTTTGTTCATTAATAATGTAGATCAGATAAAGAAGACTGAAAATATTTTTTAAAATGTATTCTACTTACAAGCTTAATAGAGCCTGGAATTTCCATTATATATCATGACAGTCAAACTACCCAAGTGAGCAGCCCCATTTTATGATATATGATATATTTTGTGGCAGTCGTAAATGCCAGTTTATAGCAAAAAAAGCCATAAATCATAGCCTTATGACTGTGGGACACTGCAAACAGCTCTAAATACAGGCGGGTTGCTGAACATCTTAAATACAAACATTCTATAGTGGGGGCAGGTCTGTTGTAACTTCAAATTCAGATCATAAGTACCTTTTGGAGAATTCGTTGTAATTTCATTGCAGACTCACTAAGTGACTGATGATAAGTCAAGGATCTATCTCTAGCACTACCATGGCTTACCTCATTTTATGGCATTTCAAAATGATATTGTTTATATTTAAACATGACCTTGTATGTATAAAAAGGTCTTATAAAATACTGTATAGCCTTTTTTTAGTTTTATAATAGCAATACATAGACTATATAGGTGTTCCTATAAATCTCCAATGCCAGATAGGTAGAATATAAATGGTTTCAATGTTTATTTTTTATATTTATATACTGTTCAACCCCAACAGATTCCAGATGATACACAGAAGCCTTAATAACTTTACAACAAATATTAACACGAAACAGTACCTAGGAGGTCTTCCAGAATAACTCCCGATGGAAGGTCCATGAAAAAAAAAATCTTTTAAGCCCTTCCAAAAATGGGAAGGGTAGTGGAAAGTGTATTTCCTGAAGGATGAATTATACAGTTGGCGCTAACTCCATAAAGTCCATCCTTCTAACTTCTCACACCCTCCTCGTGTAGATGAAATCCTTAACAGACCTGTTCTAGGTTGCTCTAGACAGGCATGGCAGAATTATGTTGTAAAGGCAAGATGTTAACTTATTATTATATTTGTTAAATTTATTTGCCAACTATTTCGTCATGGAGCTATAGACCTTGATAAGTCACAACTAACACTTTCAATACTTTCCCCCAATCAGTCAATTCTTTTTTTGTGGCTAAATCTGCACCTGAACTCTCATGGAAAAAGATTAAGTTGACACTAGGAACTGCTGGGCTTACCCTTCATGATCTGCTGCAGCTCCATTTGCAAAGTTTGAATAGCTCGAGATGGGTCATCGGTAGCAGCACGTTTTAGCCGATGAATGGAAAGCTTTCCATCAGCCGCTGCTGCAATGTCATCATCTTCCAGAAAAATAACTCTGTTTGTGTGCTCAATTATGGCACTGCCAAAAAAAAAAAAATATCCAGGTAAGGTGTGAACATTCAAGTGCAACAAAGCTTTGTTCTGCGGGTGTAGATAAGAGCTATAAATAACCAGAAACATGAATTATGCATCACCCAGTCCTTGACTGCAGCACATGCATGTCAAGTCATAGATCATCTGCACAATCTAAAGAATCTGGAATCTGCATACAGCTACCAGGAACAGTTGTATTCATTATTATTATATTATTGACATTCCCATATATTCCCATATGACCATGCTGAACACACTTTTATGAATTACCATTTAGATTTAAAACCAAAGGCTATTTCTCCTTGGATATGAGCCAGAAGCATTTTACCAGTTTTTCCAGAATTATTTTGTACCACTGGCTAACTAAGAATCAGAACCTACAGCAGCTTTACAAAACAGCTTTAAAATTATTTATTGTTGACAAACAATTGGCTTGAGCTAAGGACCCCTCCTCAAACAATGAAAATACCCTTATCGCCCAGAGGAATGAGCATCATTGGGTTGGCGTGCTTTGCACAATCCTGCTAAAGCTACACATCATTATGTCTGTTACCTTGCATCCGAAGCAAAGAAAAATTCAACCGCTTTATCACCCACAGCATGAAGGCAGGTTGAACTGTCCAGTCTTTTCATTTGAGTTTTGCATATGTTCTTTACATTTTCTATATTACCTGTCAATGAAAAAACATGCACATGTAACATCTTTAAATCAGCAGAGTACCCAAATTCATCAGAGCTGAAATCAAATTATTGAACTTCATGAATTATACCAGAATCGTGACTACCTTATTAAAATTACTAAGAAAATGAGGCAAGAATGTTATGCACACACACACCATTTTAATTTCAATGTATAAATTTAACATTTTGCAAAATTTTGAAGTAAGGGTTTATTTAATATATATAATATTTTAGTATCATGGATTTGTAGTTAATGGACTGATAAGAATGAATTCTGGCCAATATAATCAGTTCTTTCTCCCCCACAACCCTCCCAAAATACCAGGATGGTAGTACTATAGCAACTTACATGTTCGATATAAAATGGGAATTTGTTCTGTGGAGAGCTTAGATTCACTACGAACTCCAATAAGCAGAGGACTCCCCCTCCTGACAAGTGATAAAACAACAATGAAAGTGGTTGTGTTCATTTTAAGAAATATATTCAAGTATTTTTGCTTCAATGAAGGACCTAAATCTTGGGTGTAAGCTCTGTGCTGATATATATTTATCAAGCATCATAGCTCAATTTATAGTTCAATTTACTTACCTGGTAGCAACAGCTTCCCCTGGATAATGGATACTTTTGAATACCAGCGCAAATGCACCTTCCTACATAAGAGGAACATTAATATTAAAAAAGGAATGAAGGGGATGCATATCAAAATTATCTAAAGAATGAGTAAGATAATATATTAGTCAAAATTCCCTTTTCATATATTTCATGATCCCTAATAAAGGAGTAAATTAAAAAAGTAGCAAATACACTTCATTCATGTTGGCATATATGTAGGGGGATAATTCCCAATTAACTCCATCAGATATATATCTAATGATGAACATATTAGCTTCCTGATTTATCAGTGGGAATACTTGTAATTTTAATTCATATCCAGCTGTAGAATCCATATATTGAGCTCTGTTAGGTGGTTATTTCAAGACTGCAGCCTGACCCTTGATATCAGATTGGTAATTCTAAACGAAAACAATTGTAGGTTCTAGGAATGCATCTGGAATTCATTTGAGTTTATGTCTCCCTTTTCACCTATGTTCTGGACAAGTAAATGTTTTTGTGAAAAAGAAAATATAGCAAGGCATTTTGAAAAGGATCATCTCTTTCAAAACACACCCAACAACTTCATTTTGTCAAACTCGGTAGGTGAAGGATAATTCAATACTATGTAAACATTACCAATGCTAGGAAATAAGAGAATCTCCCACTCACCAACTGTTGAATGACTCTCTCAACCAAGACAGAAAAATTCACATCTTCAGTTTCTTTATTATCATATACATATTTGATTAATTTTGCAATTGTCTCAGTATCTGTTTCAGATTCAAATTCATAACCTTTTGTCTCCTAGAATGTTTAAAACAAGCATTAGATCCGAGTTTCCTACCTCAGGCTATTTTCATTCATATGCAATAGCATCAAGGGACATCTAATGCCTTGATCACTACTGCTCTAGCTCCAACTCCCCAGTATGATCACATTCACAAGCCAGATTTTATTTATTTAGATTTTTATTTATTAGGACTTTATTAAACATGCCATGGAAACAGCATGAAATTAATGTTGTCTCATAACAATATAGAATCACAAGATTAATTCCTGCCAGAAACAACACTGTTATTCTCTAGCTCAGTGTTAGCCATTTTAACATCTTTAACATCTCACACTTAGCCATTTTAACATCTGAGCTGGGGGATTCTGGGATCTGAACTCCACACATCTTAAAAGTTGCCACGGTTGAGATATTCTGCTCTAGCTGATATCCATACTGGCCCGTGCTAACACTGGGATCACATAGGAAGGGAGAGAAAAAACTGAAAACAAACCATTCTCTTTCTAAGGGGGCACTGAATCTGTAACTCGTCATCTGGCATTAAATATAGTAGTAGGCAAGGACAGATCTCTCTAAAGAACTAAAGCTTTACTTCTACATATAAAAATAAGTTTGGAATGACACAGTTTTATGATATGCTGTCAGCTTACCAAAAACTTCCGAAGGTCTTTGTAATTTGTAATGATTCCATTATGGATAACAACAAATTCTGAAAGGAATATATATGGAAATAAATAAGTAAGAGCAAACAATGAGACTTTAATTCAAAAAGTGGATTGAAGCTGTATATTTATTAAATTGGCACTTGTAAAGTAGAATTCTAGTTTTCTGTTCTTTCAAGCAACACATCATGGCCAGTTTGGTCTCTGTCAAAGAGACAATGAACAGCCAGTTCCCAGAGTTGCCAGATGAGCAGCTGCAGGGAGAGGCAGCTGCAATACCCAGTAACCAGGTCTCATAAAATGAGTCTGAGCTGCTACCCTCTCCTAGTCCAAGGGCTTGTCATGCGATGAGCAGAGCAAAGGCATTCTGCAAGGCTCCTTGCCCTTCTAAATGAGAAACACTGGACTGCTTTCGACTTGGGACTCTCTCACGGCATGGTTGCTTGACTTTGGGTGATTTTTCTAGTGTGCATGCATCTGTGTGTGTATGCGCATTTGCACTCACATTTCTTTTCCTTCTCATTTGCTTCAGAAACTTCTGCATAAAGTCTGCAACCACCTTTCTGTGTTTGTGAATGCACAGCTTGAGATAGATCACAATGGATGTCAAGTGGTATAACTAAACCAGTAAAGTTTTGGTTTAAAAATTAGAGGATATTGGTTGTTTGGAGAATATTGTTTAGAAAATATTGGATATTCTAATGCCAGCAGATTTGACTCCTTTTCTTTCATGTGTCAGGAATATTACACATGAAAAATTAGTTTATGAATCACCTATCTCATTTAACATACACTAATATGTGATAGTGATTGGTTGGTTTCAACAACTACATCTAAGGAATTCTGTTTTTCCCCCCCCCCCCCAGAAGTTACCTACCATTACTTCTATCTGATCGTTGGGGATGACTGTTGACAGCATTTGGTTCTCCGTGAGTAGCCCACCGAGTGTGAGCAATGCCAAAATGTGTGTCAAAATCTGCCTTTAAATCCAAGCCTTCTTGCTCTGTACAGGACAAATGTATAATAATTTATATTCAAAATGATACGCAATTCTAAATTTCCAGCTTTTCAATAATGGTTTGTGGCTACAAAGTTGGGGTTTTTTGCATTACGACCATCATCAAGCCCAGAATTACAGTTGTAAGTCATTGTGGTAGTTAAGTAGGTACTATGTGTTTGCACCCAATTTTCTGACCTTTTTCGTGATGGTCATTAAACACTGTGGCCATCAAGCAAACACAGTAGTTGTTAAGCAAATCCATTTTATCCAATGGGCAGGTTTTGCCAGAAACCATAAGTAAATGCCAGAAACTGGCAAAAAAAGATAAAAATTGTTGTCACATGGTCATAGGCCATTACAAATGGCCCTTGAACTGGTTGCCAAACATCCAAAATCCAATCATGTGACTGCGGTGTGTGAATGTGTGCAGTTGCCGGAACTTTAAAATTGGGTCATAAGTATCTTTTGGGGGAGGGTCAATTGTTATTTTGAACAGTCAATAAGTGACTGGTTATTAAGTGAGGACTAGAAGCATAGAAGTATGTTTTAAAAGTATCACAAACACTACTTTAAACATATTCGATGCAGAAATCATCATACACAAACACACACACAGTTAATTTCTCAGCACAAAATACATCACTTCCAACGTTGAGCAAATTCAAAATCCAGATGAAAATATCTAACACTGCATGAAAGTCAGTAATCATTTTTGATTTGTTTATATTTTGATGAAAGAATCCAAGACCTTTTATTAAATTATAGCCAAAAATGATTTAATGTTTTGTTAACGACATACATAACTTGAATTGCTTGGTTTTTTTTTCTTATGACTTCTGTTACAGTTAATTAGATCTCAAATGAAAATATTATTTACATCATCCTCATGTAATAACTGGTAGATTTACTTCACAAAGTAGAAAATCTTTCCTAGGATATTCTTACACCTATCAGAGGTTAGATTCAACATGACATTGAAATATTAGTGAAAGGCTTGGCTTGTGGGATGTACTACTGCATGTACACATAATTCATATTGAATATTGATCCACAATCTCATATTGTATCATAACTACCATTATATACACATGAATAAAACTTATAGAGGAAAGGTAGTAAAAATGTTCAGAAATCATTTGAGAGTAAAATGTAGAATTAAGACAGATGTAATTTTTGTTTAAGCAAATGTAATTGTAATCCCATCAATTGGTGATTGATTAATAGTACTTCTTAGTACTATTAGTACTTCTAAATAAACATGCTATATTAAAGATTGGCCATAAATATAACAAAATGCAGATGTTGTGTTATACTTACTTTGCAATTCCTCATCAAGAGCCTTTACTTTTCCTTTTTTTTTCACCAATTTGATGTACCGTTCTTTATCTTTATTATTATTCCCATCAATTGCAATACCTGTAATATAGAATATATCTTATTGTATACTATTCCTGATTATTTAAATTACTGTGCACATTTGCTTAAGCAGAATATCAGGATTTTTTTTTCAGCAGATGAGATATTTTGATTTATATTTTAATGAGAGGTTTAGTCTTGAAAATCCTTTTATAAAAAGATAACCATAAAAGTATTTAACATTTTGCTAAGGTTTCAAAACTTGCCTTTCCTGGTTTTCCTTTTATATCTGATTAAAATTGCTATTGATTGATCATGCAAGTTAGTGTTGACTCATAGCGTTTCTATTAATTATGTGTAAGTCATTTTCAATTTAAGTCACCACATACAGTTTTTCTCCATAATGATCTATTTATTCATAGCCTGTTCTTTCAAGTCTCAGCTCATCACTACTGTTGCTGAGTCTGTCCATCTTGCTCCTATGCATCCTCTTCCTTTCTTTCCTTCCACTTTTCCCAGCATTGCAGTCTTTTTCACAGAGCTGGGTCTTTGCATAATACGTCAGAAACAGGAAAGCCTGATCATTTACACTTCTAGTGAAAGCACTAGGTTGATTTATTTGATGATCCATCAGTTTGTTGTCTTGGGTGTTCATAGTATTTTCTAACACCAAACTTCAAAGGTGTTTGTACTCTTTCTATCCCGTTTCTTTTTATCCTTTTTCTTCAAGCCTAACTTCCACTTTCGTGGAGGATCATGGGGAATGTCAGACTTGCACATCATGGCATTTGAATATCTTTTTCATTATCGCTACTCTACCAAATGTATTTCTTGACTGTCTGTTCCTTTACTACAAAGATATCCTTTGATAGCTTCACTGATAATTCTAAAGTTGGTTGCCCTACCTTTTGCCATTTATAGTCAGCTTTATATTTAATTTTAGTCCCCATTTTTTTCATTGTGCTCTTTGACCTTAGTACTAAGGGCTTGCAGATTCTTTGCATTTTTGGCTATCAGGGTAGTGTCATCAACGTAGCACAAATTATTGATGTTTCTTTTCCTCCAGTTTTAAAACCATACGCTTATTCTTCCAATCCAGCTTTCCTTAGTATGTTGTCAGCGTTCCAAGTAATGCACCACTGAAAGCAGAACTCCGAGGCAGGTAGATTCCTCAAAGAACAATTTATTGGATACATCATATTGGCACAACTGGCAAAAACAGACTCTGAAAGTTCCCACGGTTTTCACTTAATTAAAAAGTAAAAGTTCCCCCTTCCGCCCAGGTCACATTGTCCAATAGTGGTGATGGCAGGTTGCCTGGTTACTCTGCTCCTCCTCTTCTCAGCCACCTATTGGAATGATCTTGGTTCCCACAAGAAAACTTATTTTGACGGCAAAGCCGAGCTATCTACTTTTCCCCCTCCCTTTCTCCCCCTCTGCCTTGTGGCAAAACCATGAAGCCTCAAAGATGGCCTCAGCCAAGTTCGCTTCAGGGTTGACATATGTATTCCATATATAGATTGAAAAAATAAGGGGAGAGAGTGCAGCTCTGTCACACACTCCTCTGCCAAATTAGGCCCAGCCTATTTCATCATGTTCTCTCCACACTGTGGTTTCCTGACTTGTAAGTTGACTGAACCTGTTTTAAGTGACCCTATAGGTTGAAGTTATTACAAAAAAAATAAAATACAATTCTATTTAAGATTGTCTTGTAAGTTTATTTGTATCTCACGTCAGTGGTTCAGCAGTATATTTTTAAACATTGTCCAAGAACCAAAGATATCTCACAAAATGAAACTAACATTGATTTGCCTATTACAAGTCTCTGCTTGCTTTAATTATAAACTCCTGCAGGAAGAGAAAAGTGAAAGTGCATGTAACTCATTGTAAGAATTCTTCAGAAATCTGACTCTGTGTGACACAAACACAGCTCATGTACGCTTCCACTTCTTCAATTATTAAATTAATATTAAATTAGGATAGAATTCTTCCTATGGAAAAGACGGAAATGATTTGTCTTCCTTACAGTGGGCGTCACACACTGAAATAACACATGGCTTGTTTTTAACACTGTTAAATAAGCCGCAATAAGTTCACACATCACAATAAACTACAAGCTACAGTATGTAAGACATTGTGGCTGGGTTAATTACAATATGGAGGCCCTGTCAATATCTAGTCTATTCAGAGACTACTTCTAACATGCTTTTCGAAAAGCAATAGAAGCAATATAAGACAACAATTGTCAGGGTCCATGTAAGACATTTTACGCACCTGCAGAATCATACCCTCTGTATTCCAGCCTTTGCAATCCTTTTATCAGCGTTTCAAATATCTCTTTCCTTGTCCGAGGTACTTTGTAGTTCAAATAAGCAAAGATACCTGTTTGAAGAGAGAAGCAGTGAAAAAAACACACTTAATGCTAATGTTTTGCCATTCATAAGTTTGATATAATTTCCGTCTTGCCCCATTATCCCAGTTTATAGTACAAGTAGTCCTTGACTTATGACCCCATTTGATTCCCAAATTTCCATAGCAAAGCAAGACACTTAAGTGGGTTTTGACCCAGTTTGCCATTTTTTCTTGCTGCACTTGTTAAGCAAATCGTGGCAGTCGTTAAGTTAGTTGTTAAATGAATCAGGCTTTCCCATTGACTTTGCTTGTCAGAAGGCCTCGAAAGGTGATCACATGAACTCCAGGACACTGCAACTTTCATAAGTAGTTGCCAAGTTATCTCTCTCTCTCCCCCCCCCCTTCCCTCCCACCCACCCCACCCCCCATGTGAACAAGTTTACCAACTGAGATAAAACCTTATTGGTTATTTTATCATGATGGTGTTTCTTGCAAAGATAGCTTTATGACTTACTTGCTGTACATAGTTTTACTAATAAAAAGAATAATTAAAATACTGTTGCCTGATAATTTTAGCTATTTAAATGTTGACAATTATTTGATTATAGTTGACCAATTTATTTTGGTTGACTGCTTATTTCTGATTTAGCTCATTTAAAATAAGAGAACATGACTCTTTTACTAATCAGGTTTTGAGCTACAGATGGCAAAATGTATTATCTAGCACCATAAAGCTGTATTTTTGGAACCACAGTTAAGCAGCTATTATTCTCTGCCTTCCCAAAAATAAGATTTACAAATCTAAGTCAGAATTTAGCCAAGAACTGATCGGGACAACTCTAGATTATAGCTAGTATTTCACAAATCTACTAAGGAGACTTCTATTAAAACTTATTAAATGCTGTTTGTGGCATGAATCACAACAGAAACAGTTGCCCCCATCCAGCACGAAAAATCTCCTGAGGCTAGGGCTGTTAATAATTTTCTCATGGACTCAGCTCAAGTTATTTTCTATTTTTCCAGAGCAATATTTAAAATATTTCTAACATTTTTGCACAGTCTCAGTATTTATAAATCAGCAGTTTATATCCTCAAAAGACAGACATGTACATATATACATACATGCATATGTACACATATAAAAGATCTAACAGCGTCCTCATTTGAGGCAATATTTTTATGCTTTGGTCGCTCCAGGAAAGGCCTTTTTGAGGGATCTATCCACAATGGAGGCAGTGTGCTGAGCTCGGTAAAGATTCCTTGTTTATACTGAATTCTAGCAATGCTCCTATTTAAGCATACAAAGAGACTCAGAGGCCACTAGAGACTTTTCATTGAAAATGATAGCAACAGTCTAGACTGCCAAAGAACATATTAGAGCTATTTGAGCTTAAGGAAAGAAAGTTTAGTTTCAACATATACATCCTGTCATACCTCCCATTAACCACATTGACTGTTCACTTTCAAAATATAAAGGCCACAATCCAACACAAAGTTAAAATTCAGACCACAGGACTTATAAGTTCTTAAGTCCATGGTTCAATAGTAGGTGTGATCAATAGCATTCCCCTTCTCATTTTCCTCCTATAAACAAATGGGCCTCTCTTGTTTTAGTGCTGCTCAGGCTGGTTTAGAAATAGCTTGGATTGTACAATAAATCCAAGAGATAAAATTGGATAGCTTGGATCGTACAATGAAATTCCAAGAGATAAAAAAAACCACAACCTGAACAGTCTAAATTCACAAGGAATAAACTTCTGTATTATATTTTGCATTTTTCCTTACTGAAATGAAAGTCACAAATGTTAATCATAGTTGAAAATACCCTATTGTCTTCCCTAACACAAATGATCTTTTTTCTTGCAATTTTATTTGGAAATTGATATACTGTGTCAATTTTTTGTTTAGTTTTAAGCACCTTTTAAATGCTATTATTTTTATAAGCAATAACATTAGAAACGCTTAAAAATAAACACTTTTAAAAGATATACAGTTTTAAATAAATGTGCAGACTAGAAAAAAATTCTAAAAATCTTTGTGGCAGTGTAAATAGGTATCATTTTACTGTGACACAAACTAGCTATGGCAAATGCACAAACATGAATAACATATAGTACAAACATTATCCAATCGATAAACTTCTATTGTTAACTAGACCACTTCCCCTTTGACCTTATAATCTTTTCTCTTCAGCATGTTATTTTCATTATTCAAGAGATAAGAAAAGGCTTTAAGTACTTCTGCTTACAAAAGACCTAATCATTGGGCTTGATAAAAACCAAAATGAACAGAGTTGTTTTAAAATGATTGCACAGAAATAATGTCACAGGAAAGGCCCTTAGACTCCAGAAATGAATGAAGCACCTCTGCTGTGACACTTTAAAAAATAGTTCAAGCAGGGAGTTTAGCTAGGAGTTATACAAGCTAACCTTTGTTTTTGTGATTCCCTTTAATATCCTAAAAAGACTTTGAAGCTCTTGGTTCCTTTTTCAGGAATGCAACTGGTTGGTAACTGAGTGGGGAAATTCCACAAGAATGTCAATGCTTATTTAACCCAAATCAAGCTAGGATTTTTATATTTTATTCATAACAAGTAAGCTCAGCACCCCTTCCCTTATCTTTGTTGCTTGGGTACGTACTGAAGCTTTTTCAAACAAATTGCCTTTCAGATGTGTTATGGACTGAAACTCTCAGAATTTCTCAAGTATTGTCTATACTGATTAGGAATCTTAGGTGTTTTAATCCAAGCTAATCTAGGACATGCCATATTAGGGGAAAATTATGCATTACTCACTATGTTAAAGTTTACCTTGTCACCAAGAAATCTACTTTCCACGACGAAGACAATATGCTAAGTGGATTCATCTCTGGCTATAATTAACTTTCATTGTAACTATTTTGCTTCCTCTTTCCTCTTAAGAAATATTCCATTTTTAAAATGAATTTCCTCCTCTATTCTACAGTGATCCTATATTCACATGCAGTTAACTAGTCAAATTCCTCAACCTCCAAATGTGAAATGTACCTATTGATCATCTTTAGGCACTTGACAGAAAAATATCCTTTAAAACAGTTGAAAGACACCATAAAAAGAATCCGTCCCAACTATAATTGGTCAAGAAGGCACTCTTCTCCTTCAAAGGTGTACAAGGTTGGAAATGGAGGGCCATGCTCAGCACCTTGAACTTTTGGAGGAAGTTCAGGATATACATCTAATAAATAATTTAATAGCGGCCAACTTTGTAACCCTAGGTACTGATAAATTGCTATCAGCTATGCACATTGATTAGAGTAGCTGGGAATAATAGCATTATAGGGCAACCACATCTAGGGATCCTGTTGATGTGGAATTCTGGAAGTGGTAGCTCCAAAACATCTAGGGATCCTTTGGTCAAAGAAGATTGTACCAGCATTAAACTTTAAGGTTTTTTGCTTAACTGAGCACTATAGTTCTAATGTGCTAGAAATCCCTCCATTTAAAATAATGTACTTAGAAACCTAAGCTTTTTTCTCAATGACCTCACAGGTAAAGATAATTAAACTCACTGGTATTTCTACATATGGAGTAAAAGATTGGCACAAAAATGGTCAGCCTGGCTTATTATTTATGATGCTAATTATACACAACTAGATTGCTATGTATAACAACATATGAAAAAGTGAAACACCAGATATATTTTACATTTTTTAACATAGCTTTTGTTTGGGTGGAGATATTTTAAAGAGATTTTCATCCCAAAGTAGGAAGCTTCCTTTCACCACTTCCGGCAACATTTTTAGAACAGAGTTCTGATTTATATCTTATTTTATCTCACCAAACTTTTCTACAACATCAATAATGGAAAGTGCTTTGAAATCACATCAAACCTTGACCTAGTATTCTGACTCAGCCATATAATATCTTGATTAGCATTTGGTTGAGCAATGGAACATTCCTAATTCTGAGTTAAAGCACAGATGTCTCACTTTAGATAAAGTGATTTCAGTATGTTTGTTGATGTCTTAAATGAGTAACCAAGGGTATCACAAGATATTCCTTATCAGCTTGAACACAATAAACTAATTCTGAACAATTTAGAGGAACTGGGTTTTCTGGAACAAAATAATCTTTTAGAACTTAAAAGTGATTACTTGCCCACCTTGCAAAGAAAATACATGGCTTAATTGTTTGGAAAGAAGCTGATTTCCTGTTCTAATATACAAATTTAAAACAAGTTTCATTTGATTTTTCTCCATCCAAAACCTTATTTATGGTTCAGTTGTATAATCCATACCTACTCACTGTCAAACAATCCATTTTATTATATTTATGGACACTGGTCCTGTTTTTCTCTATATTATGCCACTGTCATAGCTTTGTCTTTTTTGGATGTTTAAAAGTGCACTGCAAGGAATTGGGACACCACCACTCCATCCCAGCTTAATAAATGCAGAGAAACTGCACGTGGGAACAGCTTTATCTGCACTTATAGAAACCACACACATAGGCATGTGTAGGTCAAACACTGTTTTCAAATTTGAAAAGGGCTTATACTGTTGTTTCTGGTAAAATGCAATTTGAGTGAAAGTTAACTTATCTCAGCCTGAGGACCTATTTGCCATTAATACACTGCAGTCCAGAAAGGAAACTACATACTTGAACGGTCCCAACAAGCAATACTGTCCCAATAATTCCTGAAACTAAACTCTCATGGTAGTAGTTTTACTTCCTTGTTGTGCAAGAATAATTTTAAATGTGTACTTTGCTGATGATCCAATACAAAGCTTTTTTAAAAAAAATAAGTAGAAGTATTCACCAAGTATGGCATATGGTAAATAAATCAATAATTCACCAAGTAGTATTCCCCAAGTATGGAATGTTGGAAGAAATATCCTTCTGGGTTCAGTTCCAAGTGGGGAAAAAGGCACTGGAAACATGGAGGCTGTTTGGAAAGATGGTTTAATGGTGGACAGGACCACATGGCTTGTAGCTCCAAAGTGAAAAGGATGGTCACATGCTTCAAGGTGAAGGAAAAGAGAAGGAAGGGCTGAGATGCTGAGACTGCCTGGTTTTATACCCTCTGTTGAGATTTGAATTTGAACTTGTATTCTGATTGGCTGTCAGACTCCCATGGGGCCATGCAGGGGCAACTCTGTAAGGCTGTCCTGAGTTCCAGGCTTGGTTGCAGTTTGCTGGGTGATGATGTAATAAAAAAGGGCTTTGGGCAATTGCTAGAGGTTTACCTGGAGATCTTTGTTATGTAAAAAAATCTGGTCCAGGTCTTAATGGCCCACCCATTAACAAAGGTGGGGTGAGCTTCTACTTCTGAGGTGAGTTTCTGCTTCTGAGTTTCTACTCTTTTTAGGGGAAATATTCTGCCTTTTTAATATTTCTTAGGATATTTCAATTTTCTAAGAGAGATGTGCTAACTTCCTACAGGAACTTGGAGAAGGAAAAGTAAAAAAGAACCTTGAATGAAAATTTTAACAGCTAGCAAATAGCCCTGAAGGAGCCCTTTTGCTTGTCAACATTCGCTTTCATTAAAGATTGATCCTGCTGATAATCAGCAGTTAGATTTTCTACAGTATCCATTGACTCAGTCACATTTCAGGCCATGACTACAAGAAAGCAGCTCCTTCTTATCCCGACTTGTTTTCATGCCCTCACCATGTATCTCTCTCTCTCTCCCCTTGAGAAGATGCCTCAACCCAATGAGCTATGAGGCCAAACTTGAGTTTGACTTAAAACTGCGGTTCTCCATCCAAAACTAAAGGGAGGAGGTGGATGCTGGAGGAGCGAAGCTAAGCAAGCACGTGGTCAGGTCGTCCCATTCCAATGGCCACCCGCGGGAAGGAGGGGCAGTGGAAGGAAGAAAGAAAGGAAAAGGGGAAGGGGAAAAGGAATAGAGATGGAAGCGTGACTTAGAAGCACGTCTCCTCCTGTGCCTTTTTAAGGGCGGTGGGGAGGGAGAAAGAGTTGGAGGGGGATAAAGCATTCAGCTTCCATGTCCTTCCCGAGCTGCCGGGCAAAAGGCAGCAGTGTTTCCCCCTAAATAAGAAGAATTGATCTTACTCTTGGTTTGGAACCGCGGGCCTTTTTCAGGGCAGACGTTCTTCCGCTCCTTCTCCGCCTCCCTCTCCTTTCCCCCCTACAAGTGTAGGACAACTACACTCCTCCTGCTTTGGGCCCGCATGTGCAACCCCGCACCCTTCGGCCGCTCGAACTGCGCGGAGAAGCTGGCACCCAGCCAACACGGCTCCCTCCCCTCCCCTCCCTCCTCTCCTCCCTCACTCACCGCACATGGTTAGTCCCCGATCCCGCACGCAGCCCCGTCCTGTCGCCCGGGATGCCTGGAAGCCCCGCACGGGTCCCTGTCACCTCCTCTTTCTCTCTCGCCTGCCGCTTTAATAACGTGTCTTGGACCCAACCCCCTTGGGTGGTGGTTCATTGGCTGAGAGAGGGAGCGCGGGGAGATGGGGCGGGGGTGGGAGGAAGGCTGCTTCCCATCTTCTTGCTGACTTCAGCCGTCAGCCTGACTCACGAGGTGGAACCAAGACGGGTGGGTGGGTGGATGGGTGGGAACGAGACTGGGAGGTCGAAGGAAAGGAGGGGATTTTTAAAAATTTTTATTTATTTATTTTGTCCCCGAGAGGAGCCGCCTACGTCCCGGGATGGGGGGTGGGGGCCTCCGGTTTGCCTCCAGATGTTTCTGAACTCCAACTCCCAGCAACCCACAACCAGCGTGGTCAACGAGAGGTGGAGTTTTGGCATATCTAGAGGTTCCTCCTCCCTAATTAGGGTCTGAAGTGTAGCAAATGGTCTTCATCTTCTTCTTCTTCATCCTCATCATCATCTCCACCCCGATGAATCGATCGGCTTCATAATAAGCATTGTCCATCCTTCGGCTCCCACAATACTTCTGGGCGTGGAGTGGGGGTGAAGTGGGGGGGGGAGAAGGGGTATTAAAGTCCAATGCATCAGGAGGAAAACTTTTTTTATCTTTCTTCCAAGAGATTATGTGCTACTGTTTATCAAAACAATCCAATAGGGCGAATTATAGAAAGCTTTGAAATCTAATCAGACCATTGTTCCAGCTCAGTGGATTTCAAAGGGTGTTGTTTTCCCAACCGAATTGATGGAAGACAGAAATGACACCTGTGGGCAAAGGTATGGGCCTCTTTTTTCATAGAAAACCCATTAGCTTCTGGCACCAAGAAAAGACAAAAGATTTAAAGATGCAAGTACTGTTGCGTAACTTTTGTGGACTACAGACATGATCACAAGCATGGGGTAACGACCTACCCGAACAAGGGGAGGAATAATAATAGGAAAAGTCAAGAGAGAAAAACAGCATAATGGTCATTCTAGTATTGGGTGTGACTTAACATTTTTTTTTTTGCGTGTGGGTGAGCTAATACCAGATGTGCAATCAAAAATATTGCCTCTGTTTAACGCTTGAAAAACTTGTTGGGTCTTCAGGTGTCACAAGAATTTCTGTGATCCTTTTTTTGTCTTTTGGGATGTTCACTGCCCAGACAACTTGGAAGCAATGTCAGCTGATCCTATTTAACTGACTGCTGGAACATTCAATCTACTTAAACTCTACCTAATTATGCAGGAAACTATATACCCATTGCATTTTGAAACATTTCTTTTGAGAGCAAATAAGAGTTCAAAGGATTTCCACTTCAAGCCTAGAATATCTGTCTTCATGATGATTTCATTCAAGTAAGTTTCATGAGTTCCTGCAGGAGCATTTCTACAGGCATATTCTATTTATGGTATTTCTAACTGACCAAATTCTTGAATCACTCATAAAAATGAGAGAAACTGCATGTTTAATATTCGTTTTACATATCAGCAATATTGCTTTTCTGATTCTCAAAAGACAATTTGCTACCTCAGCATAAAGGGATGGCCTTCCACTTGGATAAAGTCCTAAATGCATAATTTATTTAATTATATTTTTGTTTATATTGATATTTTTATCTATTCCTGTCCACTCGCTTCTGCAAGATATACTATAATTTGAATTTATTAATGGACGATAGGCAATCATTTTAGGCATCAGCAAATTGAAAGGGACTGGACTGAACACTTTCAATCAGAAAATCATATTATATTCAGGATATGAAATTATGAAGAAGTAATACCATCGCATTAATAGTCAGGAAAGATGCAGTATAAAAAAGCCAGTACTTGGGTACAATATGGTCAATAACTAAATAAGTTTAAATATACTTTGTAGATAATCTTCAAATGTGACATTTATCTAAGTTCATATGTTCCAATCACCGATGCAGAAAAAGAAGAGGTTGATGAGTTTTATTTGAGTCTTCATTCACAAACAGCAGATCTTGTTTGCACATTTTGCTGGTATCAACAAAATGTGCAAGCAAGATGTGCTGTTTGTGAATAAAGATTCAAATGCCAAAGTTAAAAATAGTAAGGAGGAAAATGTCATTGGATTGTATGACCTAGGAAAAGGGGGCCCTAACCCCAGGGCTTTCAGACCAGTACTGGTCGGTGGCCTGAACTAGGCCGTGCAAATGATAGAAGCCCCATCTGCACATACATGGGATGCAGACATGCATACCCATCTGTGGAAAACATGCTCTCCATGAAACCTGGCTCCCAAAAGGTTGGCAGCCACTGGCCTAGGAAACAGGAATGAAGCTGGAGAATTTCAGGAGAACCTCTCTAGTACTAAAAAATGAAGCCAGAAATCAATACTCCAATTATTAGTGTGTTGGAAGGTTACCAAAATCAATGGGACAACTACAGAAACATGGGAAACAATGTTAGAAAATCAGAAGGATCAGGTTGGGAACAGATCATTCTGGAAAAGATTTATCTATGTAGATATTTATTTAATCATATTCGTATAGTTGCCCTTCTCACATAGTGACACTAGGGGACATACACTATGATCAAAATATATAAAAACCATTAAAACAACCAATTTAAATTAAAATATAAACAAGTAAAAAGTAGAAAAAGGAAATGATGGCAAAATAGAGTGTATTCTATTAATTATACGTTCATCTAACAGACCCTATTCCATCATGGGATTCCCCAGCTAGTTGAAAAGACCATTTTAAGGGCCCACATGATTGGGACCAGCCTCAACTCCCAGGAAATGATTTTACCATAGAGAGACCATAACAGAAAGACTTTCTTCCTATGCCCTGCCCAACAAACTCTAAGGCTGATAGGACCCAGAATATGATTCTCCAACTGTATAACCACCTGATAGCACATCATTAATCAAAATCACTCCCAAAACCCTATTGCATCTGTTTCAAGTTACTGGGAATAATATTGTGAATAAGCCAAAGAGTATAGACAAGGTAATTCACTTTCTCCTATGGCTTTCCCTTCATCTCTTTTCAGTGGACAAACATCTTCTAGTCAAGATACTCTAGCACGAATGGGAGTAGCATGATTTCTGTGCACCTGGTTCCATCCCATAGAGTTGGAAAACTGAAATTGACAGATGAACAGCAAAAGCCTGTTATTTTCTGGTCACAGCATCATCAAAGGTCAGGTTGCTGCCTCTAAAAGTAAACAGACCCACAGATAACATTACAGAATACAACTGAAAAAGCATTTAAAAACAATATTGCATTATGAAGTCCCCTCTTTTTAATCTATTAATTTATTTACATAATATATGTTCCCTATCTCCCAGGACTCTGAACAGTTTTCAGTAATAAAAAGTTAATGAGTATGAAAAATAAAATTAGAATATTGCTTTCCGCCCTTTTACCTTAAAAGGTAAAAAGGGTCTAAAAATATGGAGTGTGGAAGTTGATACCATAGGAAACTCAGAAAACAAAAGTGCTGAATGAGAGGACAAAGACTCAGAGAAATACATACAATACACATTTCTCAAAACCCTCCTAGCAATTACCTTGTTGCTTCCAAGGAAATGGATGATAAAGATTTTACAAACATTGATTGTGTTAGATAGCGTAGGTTAAGAGGGAAAATATTGTTTTTATTATCAGTATATTTTATATTTAATAAATTTGGGATTGTCAACGTATGACTATCCTGTAATAAATTGTAAGTAAGAACAAGAGCAGTATAATATCATGTTTGGGGACAATATGAGTTGCTAATGGATTTTGCATATGCATCTGGTTGACCATTGTAGATTCAGTCAGAATGTCTGGCTCAATGGGCTTTTTGTCCTGATCCAACTTTATTCATCTTGCATTCTCTGAATAGTCTTCAATGAAAGAACATCCGGTGTGTGTGTGTCAGTATATTGCAGATAGCTCTTAACTAATGGGATGCAGGCAACAGTATGTTGGCAGTCTCTAGATTGGAGATCCTATCTTGCATAGACATTTATAGGGTTGCTAAGTGAATGACTTGGCTTTGGCTGGGCTTATGGCATACTGGTCAAAAATTGGCCAAACTGGAGATATTGTTATTACTGTTAGCAGGAAACGTTGCATCTGGCATTGGTATGACTAGGGCTAGTATCTATTTTACTAAAAAGGGATGTATGAAAGCCTCAATTGTCCAGAGCCATGTCTTTTCGGTTGATATTTTTTAGTTTGCGTTTTTGTACACATTTTTTAACATTGTAGAAACAGTGCTTTTTTCTTTTCTTTCTACAATTGCATGGCTATTATACTAATAATAGTAATAAAAATGACAATGAATGTTATTTTGGATGTTAGACAATAGAAACTGGGAACATATACTTTGCCAGGGATATGTATGAAAATAGAAATCAACAAATTGATCGTAACTGCATGTTATGCTTCAGGGAATAGTGGTAATCAAAGGACCAGAGGTGCATTTTAGGTAAAATGGTACAACCAATTGTCAATGCACAAGAAAACAATATTCTGCCTGCCACTTATTGTGGGGAGGGGGAACAAAGGGGGCTGTGGACTTTAAGGAAAACTGTATCACTGTTCTCCATTTTAGTATATTCCCAAGGACTCTTACCTCCTGGGAGGAAGAAACCTTCCTCATTGACCATTAGTGCCTCCCAGCTAACCCAAACATGCCAGTGGGTATCCAAGTCCCTTACTCATTCTTCCCTCACAAGTCACTGGCATTAAGAGATTTCAAATTTTGGCCCCAGCTCCAAGGCCCTTACCCAATTGGAAACAGAAACCAGAGGGAAGTGGGAAAGGGGATAGGGATCTGTCCTTGCAATCTTCCCTTCTGCGACGCAATGTGTAAGTTTCTGGAAGTGTGGTGGTGTTGAGGCGGCCACATCTTTGCCAAATTTTAATCCAACAGGACTCATGGGCCTCAGATTTTGGATGCATTCTGTCAATCAACCCATTTGAGGTGTGTTGATTCAAAAATTGTTGCTCTGTGATGCACTATTTCACACAATTGAGCTACAAAGTTTTAAACAAGGCACAACAGTTTTTGAAGTATATAGATAGAGTAACTATA